TTAGGATCCTCCGTGAAGTCAAGTTGCTGAGGCTTTTAAGACACCCTGATGTTGTTGATATTAAGAGGATCATGTTGCCGCCATCAAAGAGAGAGTTTAGAGATATTTATGTGGTTTTTGAGCTCATGGAGTCTGATCTCCATCAAGTCATCAAAGCTAATGATGACCTGACTCGGGAACACCATCAGTTTTTTCTTTATCAGATGCTACGTGCTTTGAAGTATATGCATTCAGGTGTGTGCTGGTCTTTCTTTCTCATTGTTAGGACTGGATATGTATTCTCTGTGCTTTTTGTTATTGCTGTCAAATTTGGCTTTAAACTACTACTAAATAAGTTTGTGTTTGGTTGCAGCTAATGTGTACCACAGAGATCTTAAGCCTAAGAATATATTGGCTAACGCCAATTGCAAGCTCAAAATCTGTGATTTTGGACTGGCAAGAGTTTCATTTAATGATGCTCCAACATCAATATTTTGGACGGTATGCAGTGTCATTTATACTCCCAAGAATGATTTTTTTATGCTTATGCACTCATTTGCAAGAAGGTTTATCATCCCTTTATCGTTATGCATCTTGCAGGACTATGTTGCTACAAGATGGTATAGAGCCCCAGAGCTGTGTGGATCATTCTCATCTAAGGTATTACTCTATCTAGGAGATGTATATCTCTAATTCTTATATGACATGATATGACTATTGTTTGTCTTGACCAATATGGCATGGGTCCATCAGCAAATAGAGAAACAATCAATTTCATTGATATTATTATCAAGACATGTAACACCACTACAACTAACAATTTAATCTAGATATTATTGTTTTTCCTAACAATGGTTCCGAGACTCTGAAAGACCTGCTTTTCCTAACAATATAAACTTCTAGGTTTGACTTATATTTGATAGAATGATTTTCGTAGTTTAGCACACAAATAAAATTGAATGCAACAGTCTTTCTGTTTTATTCTACTCAGTTCCCCCCTTCTGTTATATACAGATTGCTGTAAACAGTTTAATTTTTGGTTTCCCCCCTTCTGTTATAAATGCAACAGCGAAGTCCCCATTGAACTTTCAACATTCTATTTTTGCCTGTTTGACTTAAAATATATATGATACACCTTCTGTGTGTTAGTAAACTGTAATGCCTAGAGATTCAGATAATAATTATTGTTCAGGGAAAACTATTGTTTTCTCTGGGTTGTTGAATTTTCTTTATTCAGGTATATGTGCTGATTGACAATGTCAATTAATCTGTCTGTTTCTTTTGAGCGGTATGGTTAGAATGTGTAATTCTGTTGTAAAGTTCTGATATTGTTGGCATTTTGTCTGCAGTACACACCAGCAATTGATATATGGAGCATTGGATGCATTTTTGCCGAGGTGCTGTTGGGAAAGCCACTGTTTCCTGGCAAAAGTGTCGTGCATCAGTTAGATTTGATTACCGACCTTCTTGGGACACCATTGCCTGAAACTATTACAGGAGTATGGACTTCTCTTAGCATATTCATTTTTTTATTTATTTAATTTGCATGTAGTTAATATCTTCTTTCATGGAACTATATTCCGATTTAACTAGTATTTGACCCTTTGTAAATTTTGCAGGTTAGAAATGATAATGCAAGGAAGTACTTGTCGGGAATGCGGAAGAAACCTCCTGTGCCATTTGAACACAAATTCTCAGATGCTGATCCATTGGCACTTCGCCTTTTGCAGAGGCTTCTAGCCTTTGATCCAAAAGATCGACCAACTGCCGAACAGGTATTTATTTTGCAGAGGCTTCTCTTAATTTAATTTTCTATTGCAACTTCTCTGATGACAATATTAATTAATAACATGTTATTTTTAGAATGAAAAAATTAAATATGGTAAAGTTAATTAGAATTTTCTTATATTGGAGTCTATCAAATATGACGTTTTTTTTGTGCGTTTATATTTAAGTCTAGAGGGAGTATCTATTTGTTAAGTGTTTTTCAAGAACTATCCTTGAGGGCCCTCTTGTATTCCAAAAAAACAAAAAGAACTATCCTTGAGATGTTGTCTTTGTTTATCGTATACCTAACAGAACCCATTCTTCCTTTCTGTTGGCAGGCACTAGCTGATCCTTACTTTAAGGGCTTGGCAAAAGTGGAAAGAGAACCTTCTTGTAAGCCAATCTCAAAATTGGAATTTGAGTTTGAGAGGAGACGTATAACAAAGGACGATGTTAGGGTACTAGTATATCGGGAAATACTGGAATATCATCCTCAACTGCTCAAAGATTACTTGAATGGAACCGAAAGCGCCAATTTCCTCTATCCTAGGTCAATATACTCTTCTATTGTTTATATTTGATCTTTGTTTTAGTTTTTTCTGATGTTATTATTGATGTTTATATGCAATGCAAATTATTTACGCATATATGCTCCTTCCAGTGCAATAGATCAATTAAGAAAGCAATTTGCTTATTTTGAGGAAAATGATGGTAAAAGTGGACCTGTGCCTGCTCCTGAAAGAAAGCATGTATCTGTTCCAAGGTAAGACCAATAAGAACCAAACACAGTGGCCTATTCCCTTGTTGTTTTAAACATTTATTGATTGATTACATGTTGAGTTTGTCAGAATTTTGTACCTAAATATTTCTAGTGGTTATGTTGATGTAATAACTCCTCTTTTGCAGGTCCACTGTTCACCCTAGTAAGATTCTTCCCAGTAAGCAGTCAACCCTTGCTTTGTATGAGAACAAGCAAATGGCAGAAGAGACATCTAATAAGAGTTTGAGAGGAGTTGGAGAAAATTCTGGAAATCAGATAAGGAGTGTACAGCCCCCACCACGGGTGCCAGGTATACAACTTATATATTCTCCACCTTGAGAGGGAGTGTGGAGATATTGATATTTAGCATAGTATGATTTGTTAATATCTTTAGGAATTATAATAGGATTGCATTTCTATTTAGGTATTTTATCTTTAATAAGTATCTATTTTTAAGATATTTATATTCTACTAAAGTTAAGTATCTAATTGGGTTATCTCGTTTTTTTTTTAATTTTTTTTAAATTAAGATTTTATGTTATGAATACTGTTTAGGTGCCCTACGTAATTTAGGTTTTAATGATTAATTAGAATACAGATTTTTTCTTTGGAAAGTATTTGATTGATTTGGAGGACTACTATAAGAATATTTCCAGTTTATCAATACTGCACTTCACTGTCAAGAGCCAGCACTTTTGGGTTATTTGTCCTTCATCAACCCGGATATGTATCGCGAGGTCTAGATAAGGTTTGGCCCATGATTGACATACTGCTTACTACCCTTCAATCACCTTTAATATATTTTAATTATATTATATATAATTATAAAATAAAACCCTAGTACACTTAGAACAAATGAATTCCAATATATTCATGAATTGTTGTGAATCTTCACACTTTACATCAAACATTGATATATTCATCAACATATAAAATTAACTAATTGCTCGATCTGATATCCATAATGGCATGGTTCTGCAACATGAAGTTGAATATGATACTACTGTGATTTATATATTGCCGTTTACTGTCTATATAAGAAAACATCGCCGCTGAACAATTTTTGTTTTCTTGCCACAGCTAAGCCAGGGAGAGTGGTAGGCCCAGTTCTACACTACGAATATGAGAGAATCACAAAATCTTCTAACGACCCAAGGATGGTTTACCCAAATACTACTCCATCAGTCTCGACTCACAATGTCTTTAGTACCCATCCCTCGAACCCAAAGACTACATCAAACACACACAAGGACTTTTCACAAGACAAGAATGAATTCCAGTCCCAGCATTACAACTTACAAGCTGCACCAACCACTGATTTGAACAATTACCCATACCGCCGGCGAGGAAGTAACAATAACCTAAATGATCATGTAACAACTATGGATGCAAAACTGCTGCAGACACAATCTCATCTCGGCGTAGTTGGTGCTGCAGCAGTAGCCGTTGCCTCCCACAATCACAGGTATTCAAGGGGTATTCAGTACAGTTTGTCTTAGGCTTGGAGTTCAGTACAGTTTGTCTTAGGCTTGGAGTTCATAGCCCAGAATCGGTGAGAATGAGGCTTATTAACTTTAGTTGGGACTAGGTTTTCATTTTTTAATTTCTGATTGCCATCCTTGTAATTATATGTACAACATTCAATTGATTAACGAAGAAAATTGATTGTGTTTCTCCATCTTCTTTCAAGGGTTACTATAAGAAATCTTGAAGCTCAGTGAGCCCAGATCTAACTGGCTTCAAGTTTCCTCAAAGAGATTAGTTCTAAGTTTGTTTCTCACCAAACTGTATTAGACTTATTTAAAAATGATCTTGCATTTCAAAATACATGTATGTTGTGACAAGAGCTGATTCATAACTTTTGCTGTAAAGGAAGGTCCATATTCAAAGAGCACTTAAACAAACTAGACTCACCTTCGCCAATGGTAGCAGCAGATCAACTTCTTGAGTCCTTAAAATATCTTACTTGATAAATGTAGATCATAAAGGCTGGATGTGGACATATATCTGGTTGTTGTCGGTGGTGGGTCTTGACGAAAATGAATGTGCTCTTTTTTTTAGATAGATAGGACAACTAGAATAAGCAAATGAGTTATTGGCCACCCAAAATTTGGCAAATATTTATAAGAATCTAGTCTCTAAATCAATATTTATAGTAATCAATTATTTACCAGCTCTAAATTGGTTGTTAAAAACAAATTTTCTAATAGTATTTTTTTGCGTAAAAGATATACAATTGCTTCGTTAAATGAGATAAACTCTATACAAAGAAGGTCGACTCAGGTGATAAGTAGCTGATTCACGCACCAAAGACCATGAGTTCAACTTGTACTTGATGCGAAGACATCTTTAATTAATGAATAATTTGTAAGTATCTCTATAATCTCTTAACCACTCCTTTAACCATCTCTGTTTCTTTTGTGAAAACGGGCCATTTTTATTGGTAAAAGGAAACAACAAAGAGTACTACAGAAACAGACGACACAAACAAACTTCACCAGGGTCCTCTATTTGTTTTATGGAGAACAATAGGGTGGGCACTACCACCACCGAGGGCCAACAGAATCTTGCCATTCTCCCAAATAGTACTAACAGTCCCACATTCAAACCTACAATTTGGGCACACCTCTGTAGGGCACCATTGGATGTAATAGAGAGTACCACCAGTATAGATTTGCACAATCCTAAAGAAGTTACCATATGATCCAACTGTACCACCGTCTCTTCCGATGATAATCAGCTGTCTTCCACTAGTCGCGTCCTTCTCTCCCAACCTCCAGTCTGTCGATTGTGCACAACAAGAGGAGGAAGTTTGGAATGTTATTCTCACGTCTCTGTTAAGTCTCAAATAGTCATCGTCATGATGGGCCGCAAAAGGAGTGAATTTAACAGCCAATCCATTTGCTATGTAATTGTTGTCAAGACCAGCCTGCAAAAGGCATGATCCATTTCTGGAAACCAATATGGAATCTCCTCCAATGCCTGAGATAGCAGCAGACCTGATGAAGTATTCTTTATTTCTCTCAACTGGTTTGCCATTTGTGTCTACCACAAACTGAGCTATTGATCTTGTGATCATAAAGAACCACACATGACCAAGGAGGAACATGGATAGGGATCTCATTGTCATGGCTATATAAGGATTCACTGGTTTTGTGTTTTCTATTTTGGTTTCTTATCATGAATGAATGTAAGTAATAATCGTTTTACTTTGTTTTGAACGCGCAATTTTGATTGGGTGGAAAAGGTGAACTTTTTTAGTTTGAATCGTCCAACTCATAAAATATGACAAAGAAAGATTCACAAGCAGGTGCTAAAACAGTTTTGTCTCTTTCTTTTCCGTCCGTAAATTAATAAATAGCTATTACCAAAATGTTGCATTTGTTCTTTGAGAGGTATGCTTTTGTATTATTTAGGTTTTGTTTGGAAGTCGGCAGATCCAACCTCACAATTTAGAGTTTTTGTGCCAATTTAAAAATTTGGTCTCAATAAAAAAAGAGAAATAATATTATCTTTTGTTATTTTTTTATATAATAATATATTTAAATAATAAAAATGTAAGCACTAAGGATCGAACTATGAACATTTGAGTAAAAAACAAGTTTTAAGTCACTAAACTAACAAACTTACGTTACATATTTATTATATATTTAGTTGAACAATTAATACTTATCTATTTATTTCATCTTTATAATTAAAAAGATAATTTAGAGGCTCTTATTTTTTGAGGTCCTAGACTGTAGTTTAAGTTCGGTTTTGTAAATTGGAGAAGAGTGAAAATAATAGAAGAATCATTTAACTTGATATCTCTCATATTATATCTGAACTCTCTCATTTTTTTTATTTCCAAAATATCCTTGTTATTATTTACCTCTAAATTTTTTATATTTGTCAAAATTTTATTATTGGTGAAGGAGGTGAAAAACTAAATCTCTAGTACAGAAATTACGCTTTTACTGTTAGAATATTCGGGTCACAATTTTAATGTTACATATGTTAGAGTCATTATTTAATTAGCCAAAACTGTAGTGGTCTAATTAATATTAAGTTTGTGGTTAAAAGCATAAATATCACAAAAGATAATATTATTGTGTAGATACCATAAATCAATATCTAATTTGATGAGAGGCCAAATTAGAATATTGAAAACTAAGAAATAATTCTAAGGTTATTTATAGGGGTTATGGTCCCCATTCGTAGATAACGAAAAACGGCTTTATCAGAATTCTCTCTTCATCCACATCAGAGGAGAATCAATGAATCATAAGAAATCCTACAAATTAGAAGATCAAATATGTAACACCTCAATTCTACTCGACAATTATTATAAAAATCAGAGTTACAAAATTTCAACAGCCAAATCAGGATGCTACACTTTCACCTTAAACAACGACATTCATTGCAGATACATAACACATTAAACTTGGATGAACCAACGACAACATAAATTAATCCTTTAAAATCAACAACTTCCATAACTACGCAGCAAAACCAAATATTCAACTTAAAAGAATATAACATCTTTATCCAACTGAAACAACTTCAAATAACAAATATTTAACGAAATACAACTTAAAGTTCAATCAACTGAAATAATCAATATTAAAGCATCAAGCGTTCATCCCCCCGAGTGTTACGTATCAGAGCAATGACACCGACTCGAACTACTGAAGGTAAATCGCCTTCACTCTGGATTACCTGCACGTTACCAACATCGGGGTAACATTCAAATAGAAGTGGTGAGATATCGAACAATATAATCAGATGTAAGATAAATATTACAATAGAATTAGTCTATGCAAAATTACCACTTCGCAACTTTAAACGGCATCAATCACAACAAAACTTCAACGAAGTATAACAAATAATTTATCAACACAACAACTCAAATATGCAACGTGGAATGCAATTTATTACTATGCACATGCATGTGGTACCAATGGAGCAGAATTTCCAACTTAGAAATCTTGCCAATTAATAGAGGAAGCAACAAGGCATAAGCCTTCAACTTAATATTTTGCCAATCCATGCCAACTTAACGAGCATCAGCTCCAACATGATATGCCATGTATACGAAAACATAATTAAATACAACATCAACAATAATAACATATAACAACATTGGCATAGGCCTATAACTCAATAATTGCCAATAAATAGAGGCAACACAACAAAATTCATCACCTGCAACTTCAATAATTAGTAACAACAACTTAGACATGCCAATAATGTTATTAACACGTTCCCACTAAAGTACTTCCACTAAACTATCCTGCTGCTAATCCTCATTAATATTTTTTTGCTAAATTAATGAAGCTATTATTTTCCCGCTACTTAAATTATCTCTACTGCTACTATATTTTGGTTACTATTGTGTCAATTATTTGCTACTAAAATTCTGATATCAGATATGTGATGTCGAAGGAGATGTCACGACACAAATATCTGAGGATAATATAAAATGAAACAATATTAAAAGCAGTAAAAACACAAGAGATTGTTAACCCAGTTTGGTGTACAACAACACCTACTCTGGAGGCTACCAAGCCAGGGACAAGTCCACTAATTAGTATCAACTCATAGACCCTCAGTAAACAACCAGTTTACGATCTAATCACTTAATCACTACCCGTGCTATACTTCTACCTAAGACACGCCTAGGTATGAGGCCCTCCTCAAATCCCTTCAATCACTAACAGTGAAACATAACAGAATTATTAAGTTTGAAAAACCTCAATCATTCAATACTTAAAAGCTTATGAATGATCCACAATTCACAACTCAAATTACAACTCAAGTATTGAAACAATACTAGAGTGTATTACAAATAAAAGACTTAGACTTCTAAAACGCATAAAGTATGTTTTTCTTCAAAATTTGCAGTTGTACGAATAAAGATGCAAGTCCTTATAAAGGCGCAACAACTCCTTTATGGACTTGGGCTAAAAAACAAATATTGAAAAATTGAATCCCTTGAATTTCTCATTGAAAGTAGGCCAATATATAATCTATAAAGATAAGACAGATAGAAAAATATTTCTCCATATTTTTCGCAAGCTATAGACCATAAAACATGAATAAGCCACGCTTAAAAGTAGGAAATAGAAAATCTGAAAACACGTTCAGATCAGTAGGCAGATGTCAAGACATCTGCTTTGACATCATTCAAAAACAGTTGAGATGTTTTACTTCAAAGTCAAGAAATTAAGCAAAACATCACCAAAGCAGTGTTATACCAAAATTGCTGTCAGCAAACACTAACAAACTCCCCCATTGGCAAATTTTAGATAAAACATTATTTGAGCACATTATCAGAGCAGCAGCAAAAAAAACTCAGTTAGCAGGGGAAAATGTCAGGACATCTTCTGAGACATGATTCTCCCCTCAACCAATGAAGCTCCCCTCAAACTTAACAGTTAGTCAGTCAACAGTCAATTTCTCTCCCCCTTTTTAGACATAATATGCCAAATAAATATGCATTCAAGAGAGTAGTAGTAAAAGAGGTACAAACCATAATATCTAAATGTCAAACACATACAAGTGCCAAAGTGAACATAGGTATCAAAATACAAAAGAAAAACAAAAAGAAGGCACCAACACAAAGTCTAACTGTCTTCAGGACCAGTAGACTTGACAACTTCAGAGCTTCCTTCACTATTTGAATCTCCTTCTTCAGTACCCACACTATCATCAAGACTGTTATCCTTCTACAGCTCCTTGATCAGTTTTTCAAATTTTAGCTTTCTTGCTGAGCTAACTCTGATTACCTCATCAAGTTCTTTGTAGGCTTCCATTAACTCAATAATCATATCATCCTTGCTTGAGGTCTTGTTTTTAGAGGATGCAGATGTCAAAATAATATCTGGGACATGTTTACCTGAAAACATCTTGAAGTGAAGGGACAAGGCAGACTCCCTTTTGTAGACTACATCAGTGCCAGGCATAATTCTAGGATGTTGGTTTAGAATAATTCCACAAATAAGATATGGAAAGGCAATATGCATCTTGATAGCACATGTTCCTGCATGCTTTACAGTCTGTTCAGAAATGTGAGCACCATAATTAAACAATTTCTTATTTCCAACAGCATAGATAAATTTTCCTAAACCAATTGTAATGGTTGAGGTGTGATTGGTAGGGACTCAGTTAGCAACTCCAATTCTATGCAGGATAGCATATTTCACACTTAATTTAATAACATGGAGCTTATTCTTCAAGGGCCAATCACTCACTTGGTTTACAGTGATGGCTTTGCATACCTGATTATTAGTCACTTCCGATTCACAATAATCATCTTCAGACCTGTCCAGATATCTATTGATGACATCAGGGGAAAATTTAACACATCTACCTCTAACAAACACCTTCCTATATTCCTTACTTCTGTGACCAGCACAATCTATAGGAATATTAACAATAAATTCCTTAACAATAGTATCATAACATTTTGCAAACCCGGTGATAGTCTTCATCAAGCCAGTAAAAGAAATCAACTCCATAATCTCTTTGCATTCCAGTGCATCTGCTCCCAACTCCCTTTCAAGAGCAACCCTTCTTTGGAAAACATATTTCCATTTTTCAGCATTGCCAACAAAATGGAAGGAAATGTTGTCAATAGGAGCATTAGGCACCCTTTCAGAAAGCTTCTTGCTTGCAGACTTATTCGCAGGAGAGATGTCCTAGACATCATCCTTATCATCACCTGAGGAGCTATCAGGTCTAACTTTTCTTTTGTTGGAGGGAGGAACCACTTTACTTCAGGGCTTTGGAGGACCATACATAATATTCTTCTTGATACTCTTGGCAGGGGGTGTGACATCCACAACCTTCACTTTTATAGATTAGATCCTTTTAGAAATTCCAGGCTCCACATTAGTAATAAGGTCAGTTTCAGACAGCTTATCAACATTCACCATATTCTCAATATTTAGATTCTTTTTAGTTTTGGAGCCAACACCATCTTCCTTAGCAGAGGAGTCCTTCTCAGCAGATGATGTCTCAACATCTTGTTCAACACCAGCTTCCAATTCTTCTAGAACAGATGTCTTGCCAAGTTTACTTTTAGAAACATCTTTCTTTAAGGTAGATGATTCATCATCATTTTAAGGATCAATACCTTTGTCATCCTGA